CCTTCACTTTAACCCCACACATCATCCTCACCATAGCTCTTCCAGCCCTCTGCAGTACACTTTCCTCCTCTCTCCTCAACACNCAAGTTTCACCACCATATACCATCGCTGCTTTCACACATGCTTTATATACCCTCCCTTTCATCTTCACTGACCATTTCTTTCCACACAATACCCCACCCAGTTCCCTAAATTTCATCCATCCTACACGAACTTTAGCCGTAACTGCGCTCAAACATCCTCCATCCGCGTTCTGCTTATCCTCTAAGTAAACAAAGCTTTCCACTCTTTCAATACCACCACTCAACCCCGTCCTTGCGTCCGTCCTATTAATCACACCATGAACACATTTCTTACATTTGAACGTGCCTTCCACCTTTTTCAGTGCCCCCCTCACACCACTACATCTCTTATGCACCCATTTCTGACATCCTATACACAATACCGAGTTAGCCTTCACTCTCCTGTCACATACCCCACAGGGGTCTAATTTTACTTATCACTCGCTCCCCACCTTCCCCACTCACCATTACCTTCGTCTTACCAATATTAACTTTTAACCCTTTCTTTTCAATAACACTTTTCCATCTGTCAAATTTTAACTGCAATTCTTCCATGCTATCAGCCATCAAGACTAAATCATCTGCATACAAAATCTCAAATAACAACCCCTCCATTATGTTTCCACACACAACATCCATCACAATTTCAAACAGAAACGGTGATAACACTGATCCTTGATGCACTCCTACCTTAACACTAAAAGCGTCCGACATCCCCCTTCCAACCCTCATCTTTGTCTTTGCCCCTTCATACAGCTGCATCACAGCTTTAACAAGTCTCTCATTCACTCCTTTCTTCCTCAACGCCCATTCAATTTTGTCCTGGTTATGACATTAAACTGACCCTCACTGCCTTGTGAGTGATGTTGGATCATCAAAGGCTAGGCCCACCGCTTATAACTGTGGTTGCGTAAGGAAGGCCTTCTGCGTAAAAACTAGCCAAAAAATAATACTTATGATGACGGAAATCAACCAACCAATCAATAAATTTATTGCAGCTTTCAAAACAATATAATTTATATTTATCATTTAGTAATGAAATAAATTAACAGAGTAAATAAAATATAGTTGAATATTTTTTTTGTCTTCAACATGTATTTAAATAAATTATAAAATGAAATTTTTAGCATATCATTTTATAATCGGTTGTAATATTCTTCTGAAATAATAGTTCGTTTTGTTCAAGTTCTATTAGATAGGCTTATGGGTAACTTATGCTCTCTTAAATTAAAATTGAAATTAAATAAATATTAATTAAATTTTAATAGCATTAAATTGTTATTTGCAAGACAGTTGAGATAAATAATATAATTATAATATAAGAACCATTCAAATTTAAACTAATAAGAAATTATCATTTAGCGCAAAAATTATTTTAAAATAATTTCAAATTAAAATTTTCTATGTGTTAAATTGAAATTAATCAGTTAAGAAAAGTAATAAAATAAAATATTTTTTAAAATTAATAAATTTAAAATTAAAAGTAAACTTTTCTTTGAAACATGGTCTGATGTTGTAGCCTTGTTCACGATATAACTTGTCGGCAGCGCATCCTGTGTTTGAATTTACGGAATTTAAATTTTCGGAAAGCATAACTAAATATATGACCGCCTGTAGCCACCCTAGCCAAATCTCATTTATGAATCAAATCAGTTAAAGTTAAATGTTTGCATCACTATGGTAACTGTTGATTTTCAAATGTGGATTTAACTCATGTAGCTTAATAATCATGACGTTTTCGGTTTTTATTCTATATCTATATATTTATACTTTATATAAGTTCTAAATGTTATTTTAATCAATATATATATATATATATATATACATATATATATATACATATATATATATATACATATATATATATATATATATCGTTTTCAGGTTTTTACCATTTTCACACATATACATAATGACCAATAGTTGCCGAAAAAAGGATTTTTGTGTTATTATTTAATGTAATTAAGAAACTGAGCAAAAAATACTATATAATTTAGATAAAAAAAATTTATTGAAGTTCTCCAAGAAGAACCAAGCAGACAGTAGTAAGCCGTTTACATATATAGATGAAAAAGGTTAAGAATCTGTGCTGCTCTGTTTTTTGTGAAATCTTCTAACGTTAGAATTGTTAATTAAAAAGTTTTACAATGAAAATTTTATTTAAATCCTACTTAAATGCTTATTATTTACATCTAATATAGATGACAATTAGAACAGAAGACAAGTGCGGATCAAAGGCAAAAATTCAAATTGGATTAGCGTCACAAGTGGAATTCCTCAAGGTTCGGTTCTGGGCCCTCTACTATTTGTTATCTACATTAATGATATTGACTCTGGCATAATGTCAAAAATATAAAAATTTGCGGATGACACGAAGCTGTGTGCAAGAGTCAATAACGAGAAAGATGCGGAAGTATTAAGACACGATTGGACAAGACTATACAAATGGCCTGAAAATTGGCAAATGCTATTTAACATAGACAAATGTAAAGTTATGCACATGGGAAGAAAAAACAAAGGCTTTCAGTATCAACTGGACAATAAGGACCTTCGATCTACAGAAGAAAGGGACCTCAGAATCACTATATTCATCAAGACAATGTACTTTGACAGAAACTAAAGCAAATCAAATACTTGGATGTATTAGAAGAACGGTGGTGAGCAAAGAGAAGTCGATCATTATAAACTTGGATAAAACATTAGATCGTCCTCATCTCGATTACCGTTCACAGGTATGGAATCCAGATCTGCAAAAAGACGAAGACATTCTTGAAAGGGTACAGCGTAGAGCAACAAATACAATCGAAAGAGTTGGAAAACTAGAATATAGGGATAAACTGAAAGAACGTGAGTTAACAATACTAGAAAGGAGAAATTGCAGAAGAGATGATTCAGACATATAATTTAATAACTTGAAAAGAAGAAACACCGTTCACCAGGTACTTTCAACTAGAAAAAAGGAAAGGATTAGAAGGTCATAGATACAAGCTCTTCAAGATGACAGAAAATCCAATAAAGCAAAAATTCTTCAGCAGCAGGGTGTTAAACACCTGGAATAAGCTGAGCAATGAAATTGTTTCAGTGGATTCAATCAACAATTTTAAAATCAAGCTGGGAGAGTTTAGATACTAGGACATTTATATTGTGGTGGTTCTTGCACAGACGCTAGTTTACTGAACTACTTTAAACTTTGTTATGTTATGTTATATCTTAAATGTTATTGGGTGAATGAAATAGCTTCTACTTTCATTGGTCGACTGCATGAAAACATGAATTCCTGAATATAAATGAATGGACATTCTCGTACAACTTCCGGTCTCCGAAATCATCTCATAGATTAGATTAAAATAAAATCCGTTCTTAGTGACCCTCTAGGTACCAAAATGAATTATCATGCCAAATTTCAATTCAATCGAAAGCTTGGTTTCGAAGTCAGTCAGCGGTAAATTGCTTTTAAACACCCAAACCACACACGCGCACACACATAAATGTAAATATACAAATACTTATTTATATAAATAATACGTTATATTATATGATACTTGTGTAATATATAAATATATATTATATATTCAGCGTCATTATATTGTTATTTAATCTCTCGCTGATAACCCAAACCCGTTCTATTTGGAAGCTCTCTTCACCAATCATATATATATATATATATATATATATATACCAATCATATATATATATATATATATATATATATATATATATATATATATATATATATATAATGGACATGTGATACACAGTTGCTCCTGCATCTAATCTAGCACAGTTTATAAATGAAGCATACGATATCAAACGATCGGGCAAATATATTAACCTGACGCAATTTCTGAAATGCAAATTAAAAAGAAAAAATAGAGCAATGCCAGAATAAAATATAGATTTGACAATTTAATTTTTATTTGAAAGTTTAAAAATTTGAAACTAGTAATATTAACATAATTTGAAAATTGATAAACCAAACGACCAAAATAAGCATAGTTATCAATGTATATAACAAAATTAACAAGACTGAGACTGTAATTTAGACATAACAAAGTCATTATTTCAGTCCGAATTGTCCCATAAATGCCGCCAAATTAACTTTCGGAACATTAAAACTTGATTAATAAAAACAAGTGGATGATTAAAAATCTATAAAACAAATGAATGGACTCAACTCAATTATGCTCTAACCTGAGTCATTTACCAATTAAATAACTAAGGTGACTTTTGACAAACAAGCTTTTACAAGAAAAAGAAATGGATGAATTAATTAATAAGCGTTTCGAGAGCTCTACAACAAAGCCTGCCAATTTATTATGGTGGTTAACAACCTTTACGAACATTTCAAACTTTTTGGTTTTTCACACACAATTAATGATATTTTATTGTCCATGTTTGAGGGTGCCGTCGAACCGATTAAGCGGCTGGAAACTTTAGAAATATTTTTTTATATATCAATTAGAAGGAAGTCATGGTGCGATTGTGTGACATTCTAGATAAACCTGCAACAGACGACCCCACAACTGATGGTACCACGCGACGTTTGCAGATAGTTAAAAAGCAAGGAAGAGTATAAAAAAAGCTTTTGATTAGTCAAAGCTGGCCCATAGTAGTGTCAACATAATTCTATTGAACAAACAATAAATACAAAATTATCAGCGAGGAAAATATGGTTGATATTGCAAAAGTAGTATCCAGGCAGGATTTTTCGTATTACTATAGTAATAAGCAGGTACGCTTAAAAGTTAGTGCACATCACATGATAATTGGATTTTTTGGTTATAAAGGTATAGTTAGGTGCGTCAGAAAACGCGTCACTTGTCTAAAGTAGAAAACCTTGAAGTCAACGTCGGCAAGAATAAATGATTTGTATAAAACGGCAACGACGAACAGAACACAAAATTCTTTCAAATTAATTTTGAGCACGAAACACCAAAG